CTGTAAGACCCTTCGTGTGCTGTAATGGGCAGGACAGAAATGGAATGTGGTTCTCAAAGAGACAGAGGCCAATTTCAAGGCGTTTAGAAGAGGAAGTGATGAGAAGATAAGTTTATTTTCTATCTAAACATAAAAACAGCATTTTAATAACAACTAAAGGTGACACAGATACTTTATTATTGTATAGTATTTAAATATATGCCTGAGAAACATAATATTGGCCCTTTAATAAATAAAAATACAACAACAACAGGCTGAAAAAGTCCAAGCGAGTTCTCAGTAAAACACATGCAGTTATCACTGAAACTCAATCTGCACAATCATCTCTAGAAAGAAACTTTAATGCAAAAACTTCCAACCAAACTGCAAAATATTACCTTGTGATGAAATGAATATAAAAATCTTGGAAGGAGACAGAATCTACACATAACACCATGCTAGCCTACAGATCTACTTGCTTTAGAAATGTTTTTGGGTTTGCCGTCATAATGCCAAGTAAACATAGAACAAAGTGTCAACGTGACGCCACTGAGGTGAGAATGCAAGCTGTGAATTAAAAAAATTACAATGCTCATTTTGAAGCTGTACATTAAAATAGGTCTTCTCCCAGTGGGACGGGACCAGAGGGTCTCCAGGGGGAAAAGCCCAGGTGGCATCCTAATCAGCTGGATGAAAGACCTGAGCTGACCACTTTTGATGCAAAAGAGTAGAGACTCTAAATAAGCTCCATCTGGATGATTAAACTCCTCACCCTGGATTTTAGGTTGAGTCCAGCTACACGTAAAAAGCCCATTTTAACTGCTTGTACCTGGGATCTTGTTCTTTTGATCATTACCCATTCCTTGTGTCCAAACGTTAAGTTTAAAATGTTGGTGGAACAATAAATCAAGACTGAATTCCTTTTTGAACACAGCAAGCAGGTACCTCATTACTGCGAGCAAGCCCCCGATCCATCAGTCAATCTCCTGTTCAATTCCAACAGAACACTCCGATACTTGAACCCCTCAGTTTTAAACAGACTCATTCCCAACCCATAATGAGCCCCAGCTTCTGCAAAAAGCAGAAATTAGGTTGCTGAAGTTGCCAAACCTGACACCCTCCTCTCCAGGTCAGTGCCTTGAGATCCTGTTTACGAACACCCCAAACAGGATCAGAGAGAAAAAGCATCCCTGAACAAGTCCACCCTGCACCCAGAACAAGTTTGACTTTGACCGGACATGGCTCTCACTTTGGTTATTCAGGGACAAAGTACCCCTTAAAAGAGCCCCCGGTACTCCATACTCTCACTGTATCCCACATCTCCACAAGGGTGAAGATCTGGTCCACTGTTCCACAGTAAGGATAGTCATGGCCATGGAACAAAATCTAGGGTTTGTTTAATTCAAATTTCCAACTACACCTCCTCTGACTTCACCTGTAGCCCATTACCATTTTCCTGGTTATTAAGAATTGCTGAAAATGCAGCATAGCTTTTTAATAAATTAACTTATTTATTTTACATATCAAAATAGGGTCATCACGAAACTCCAAAAATGATAGAAAATAAAGCCAAGCTCAGCTTGTTTTGGTCCTTTCTTTCATTGCCCTCAGGAAGTCTAAGCCCCCAAACCACAGCTGCTTAAGCAAATATGCTAGAATGAACCAGCCCCATCTCTGAGCTTCTCTCAGTCTAACTGATCCATAGCTGACTCTGGCTTTGCATAAATGAGAATGATGCAGTCAGTGTGGGTTTAGCTGTTAGCAGTCAGAGCGAAAAGTCTGCCGGGACCTCGTTTGAACTGTCTCCTGAAGCTATCTCCCATAATGGAAAATATACAGAAAATATTTTTGGAAAATGATGCAGGCTGATGTTGCTCCAAGTTGGGCGAAATTACTCAGACTGCCATGAACTGCATCATTACTAAAGAAAAGTTTTAGTGACTTAAATGAGTAAAGATAACAGTAACCTGTAGCTATAGAAAGCAAGAGAGAGATATATCAGTAAAGTGAAAGACAAAAAAAATGTTATTTTTTTTTTTTTTTTTAGTTTGAAGCAACACAAGGGGAATTCTGTGTATTTCCATGTGGCAGACTCTTTTAACCAAAGCCAGTAAAGGTGTGCGTACGCATTGCTCTGTTTTACTAAATATAAAATTAGGTGCATGGTGCCTCAAACAGAAGCACCTATTATGGTCTGTCGACTACTTCCTGGCAGGATGTCCACATGCTTTCAAATGGGCATGTTGCCAAGACGGTGACTCACACACCTGTAGCCATCTAAGACCACATGAAGAGTCCTCAAAAGGACAAATTAGCTAAACAAACAAATGCATGTCCATGCCGTGTTAACAAAAACATCCACAGCGCTGTGAAAAAAAAACACTCCGTAATATATTCCTTAACACAGGCTGCTCTTGTGCATACACCACGTTAAACTACACACCATACCTGCCCACACGTCTGCATAAGCAGCACCGAGTGAAGAAAGCACACTGTGGGTGCACATGAGTCACCACATTACAGCGTTCTCCTTAAAGAACAGAAGACGGAGAAAAAGACCAAAAGGCTGGTAATACTGCATGTGTACCATTTCCCTTAATGCGCCAAGTCAATAAATAAGTCTAAAGTTATTTGTCCAGATGTAACTGTAAAAAAAGTTAAGAGAGTTTAAATGAGCCTATCTTCATATACATTACATTTGTTTGTTTGCATCAGTTTTTTTCAGTTTTTTTGTAAAGTTTAGCATAAATATCCTCATACATAGAGTACAACGTATTGATAGTATTGTAACATATTGTGAAGCATTTTATTGTGTCTTATTGCATTGTAATGCATTATATGTATTGTATTGTTTCATATCATGTCATTATGTATCATGTTGTGACGGATTGTGTTGTATTGTAATGGGCTGGACACATGGGGAGCGACCTGAGACAGATGGCAGTCATCACCACCGGTGTGAAAACCAACACAGAACATGATCGCGATGACAGCATTGTGAATCAAGTCGCTTGTTTTCAAGAAATTTGATTGGTTCTTCTTCTTCTTGTAGATTTTATTGGCGGTTAGCAAAAAACTGAATGGCTGAAAGTGAATGCTTATTGCTACCAATACGGAGAATTTGATTGTTCATGAAATTGGAGGGATTTTGACATCTTCAAAGTAGTATGTGATTTTCCTATTTTATATTTGTATTTTTTATTTTATTTTAAGAAGACAAAACTAAAATAATGTTTTCCTCCATGTTGAAAGTGGTTGCTGACAGCAGTGTGCAGCAGACTTTCCACTCATTGGTGGGTCCATGAAACCCTTGCTAACTAGTTGTCGTGTCATGCGACAGCGACAAAACATTTTTCAACTTTCTCTAGTATCGCACCACAAACCCACTTCTGAACGTCTTTGTGTACGAGCTCGAAATTTTGCATGAACAAATTTTCCCTGTCGCTTGCCTTCCTCCAGACAAGCGATTGTCGCCTCATCACACAAGTTTTGTAGGAAATGCCTGGAGAGGGAGCGATRTTCCCCACCCATGTGTCAAGCTCATAAGGCACTGACTGAACTTAGAAGATGAAAGAAGCAGGTGTACCAGTTTCCTATAGTGTTGTTTCTCCTGGCGTAGAGTGGCTACTTCATGCTTCAGAGCTTGGTTCTTCTCCTCCAGCAATCGAAAGTGGTTCACATTACAGGTTGTAAAGTGTCCTGCAGCTTGTTGAGAGGAAACATCGTATTTAGACTGAAAGACAAAAACAAGAGGAAAGTCACAAATGTTTTGTTGAACTCGCTTTTATTCAGAGTTACACCACAGGCCAGAACAAACCACAGATATTAGCATGTTAACACACTTAGGAACATTTGTCATCACCAGATATGAGACCTATACACTCTCAGAGATTATAAATAAATCTATAAAACTTATGAACTTGTAACATAGTTGAACTATGAATTTAGGATGTAAATCGAATGGTCATTTGGGATGGCATTTGCAGAAATGGGCTTCCTCCGCTTCCTGTTCAAAAATATGTGGAAAGATTGAAATTCCAGAAAAGTAGAGGACCATCCATACTCCGAAATGAACAACTTGAGCTAAATAAAAGCTTAATTAGTTGTTAATCTTGCCTTAGGAGGTGCAGTTCCATCTTATGGAGCAGGAAATGAATTTAACTCCAAAAAGAAGCTGTTGTTTCTGCTACAAGTTTTAAGTCTCAATAATATTTACCTATGATTTTCCAGGGCTTGGAATTTTTATTGGTAACAAAAACCATGCTCTCACAGTAGACCAAACTATTTATATCACTAAAATGCAGGCTGCAGGACTTTTTTTGAGCACTGAAGATAATTTCTTCACTTTTTCAAACAGTCATCAAGCATGAATGACAAAAAAATTGTATATTAARATGAAACATTTGGTTTTATTTGCACTGATTGTAAGTGAACTGTTATGATATCAGCCTTCAGCTTGATGCCAGAGGATTTATCTGCATAAATCCTCTGACTGACAGTGTTTGGTTGAGGCAAAAGCAAGCCTCTTGAAATTAAAACACTCTGTCAGTTTGGATAAATTTTTGTTTGGTTTATGACTGAAATTGAAATTTAGCCACCATCCTTTGCTGATGCCAACTTACAGCAGGTAAAATAAGTATTGAACACGTCACCATTTTTCTCAGTAAATATATTACTAGAGGTGCTAATGACAAGAAATTTTCATCAGATGTTGGTAACAACCCAAGTGATCCATACATACAAAGAAATCAAACCATAAATGTCCAGAAATGAAGTTATTTGTAAT